TCAGTTTATGATTTTTACTGTAAGAACATATGAAAGCAGAAACAGAATAAAATAACGTCATCAGCCACAAGCTGAGGAACGGGACACACAGGCCTCCCAGAGCACAGCTATTCTGATAAGAAGCAGCTCTATCAGTCCATTATCTTGTTCTTTAAGAGTGGACATCTGTGCCTCTCGACACAGTGCTCTGTCATTATGACTCAGTCTCTCTTTGCTTCTGTTTCCTCCACTTCCACTTTTCTTTCCATGAAGTTTTAGCTCAGAGTTGCTAGACCAATTACTAATTCCCTATAACATTGGTCTTAGCTCACTCTCGCTGTTAGCCTGCTGATATGTCTCTGATCTCCAGGCACTCTGATTCAGGGGCTTTGGGAAGCCAACATTACACTGAGATTGAAATTAAGTGTGGACCACATTGAACTGCTCACAAAAGTGTTTATTCCTTAAGTTTTTTTTTTTTTTTTTTTATATAGGGTCTCATTCTGTCTCCCAGACAGGAATTCAGTGGCATGATCATAGCTAATTGCAGGCTTACACTCCTGGGTTCCAGCTATTCTCTTGCCTCAGTCTCCCAAGTAGTTGGGAGTACAGGTGTACAAAACCATGCCTGGCTAATTCTGTAAAATTTTGCAAAGACGGGGTCTTGCTATGTTGCCCAGGCTGGTCTTAAACTCATGGCCTCAAGCGATCCTTCCACCTCAGCCTCTCAAAGTGCTGGCTGGGATTACAGGCATGAGCCACATGTCCTCCCTACTTCTTAAGAATTCTGCTCTTGAAATTAATATTTTAGTCTAAATCTATTAGAATGATGCATTAAAGTATTTTATAATTTTATTTCAATTTTTCTTAAAGAAGCAAGGTGTGCTAAGGATATAGCACTTGGGAAATATAAGAAATATACAAAACAATAAAATTGCCTACAGTCTTACAATTCAAAGGTAACCTTTATTAATACTCTGGTGTTTTCCTGGGGCCCTTTTATCTGTGATAATTTTTTCCTTTTTCTCCCTAATTTGAAGAAGAAAAACCCTTGTTATTTTTATCATCAAAAGTTAGAGAGACTATATATAACTAGAAATAAAAATGAACTAATTACACAACACATTTTGGTTGATGTATAGCATTCAAGACCAAATATAAACAAAGATGGGATACCAAATACCATTAATATATTTCTATTTAAAATAAAATTTCAGGCCGGGCATGATGGCTCATGCCTGTAATCCCAGCACTTTGGGAGGTGGAAGCGGGCAGATCACTTGAGGTCAGGAGTTAGACTAGCCTGCCCAACATAGTGAAACTCTGTCTCTATTAAAATCACAAAAATTAGTGAGTTTGGTGGCATGCACCCATAATTCCAGCTACTTGAGATGTTGAGGCAGGAGAATTGCTTGAATCCAGGAGGCAGAGGTTGCAGTGAGTCGAGATCATGCCACTGCACTCCAGCCTGGGTGACAGAGCCAGAGTCTGTTAAAAAAAAAAAAATAAAGACCAGGCGCGGTGGCTCATGGCTGTAATCCCAGCACTTTGGGAGGCCGGGGTGGGCAGATCACAAGGTCAGGAGATCAAGACCATCCTGGATAACATGTGAAACCCTGTCTCTACTAAAAATACAAAATAATTAGCTGGGCATGGTGGCACATGCCTACAGTCTCAGCCTCTCAGGAGGCTGAGGCAGGAGAATTGCTTGAACCTGGGAGGCAGAGGTTGCAGTGAGCCGAGATTGTGCCGCTGCACTCCAGCCTGGGCAACAGAGCAACACTCCACCTCAAAATTCAATAAACAGTAAGAAAATTAAATAAAACCTTAGAAATTCAGTTCCATTCATTTGAAATTGTTTCTACATAAGATGATCTGAAACTTACCTCTGAATTACATTTGAAACAATCTGCCAGGTGAATTTATAGCATAAACAAAATGACTAGGGACATGCTTGATTTACGTGAGAGCTCTTAAGGATTTTTTGAACACTTTAACAGCACCCTTGCATATATACTCATTAATTATTAGTTTTCAAACAAGATCCAGCATATTCATGGTGGTACGGCTACAGATGATAGCTAGTTTTCAATGAGTCTCATCTGTTCGTTAAAGTTTGTCATCCCTTAGAACAATGAAAAGTGAAGAAAATAGGTTTACATTCTGAGACATGCTTCATCATCCAAAACCAAAACATGTAATCTGGTGTTTCCTTTCTTAATGGCCCAAATAGTGTTTATAGTTACTAAGTGACTATTTTCTTAGTGAAAACAAACCATTGAATCTTGGAAGTCACATTGAAGATGAAGAACATAACTAAAAATTGAAGGCTTTTCTCCCTTTTTTTAAGAAAGATTGCTTGACCCCAACCAAGTTTTATATTCCTTGACCATATTCATTTTTTGTTTTTTTTGAGATGGATTCTCGTTCAGTCTTCCACGCTGGAGTGCAGTGGTGTAATCTTGGCTCACTGCAACCTCTGCCTCCTGGGTTCAAGCAATTCTCCTGCCTCAGCCTCCTGAGTAGATGGGATTAGAAGCACGTGCCACCACACTCAGCTAATTTTTGTATTTTTAGTAGAAACGGGGTTTCACCATGTTGTTCAGGCTAGTCTCGAACTCCTGACCTTTGGCAATCTACCCGCCTCGGCCTCCCAAAGATTACAGGCGTGAGCCACTGTGCCAGGCCCGTATTTCTTATATTACACATCAGTCTCTTATTTTGGTTTCTTGGTAAGTCTTTCTTAGGAGATTTTTAAGCTCTATTATTATGATAGTTTCAATATCTAACATAAAATTTAGTCCTTAATATTTTCTCAATGAATATTGGTTGTCTGAGAGAATGCACCACCACACAGTTTAATGGATACATTAAATGTGTTGGATTTTTAAATGCTGAGAACACATTCTTTCATTCTCAACTTCTTCAGGGCTTGCTGTTCACCTTAGATGAGATGATGATGAACTTAATTATTACATAAAGTCACTAAATTAGGTGAAGCAAGACATAAGAAAGATTTCAATAAGAAGATAAAATTATCCTCAAGAAAACCACAGAGGTAGGCTGGGCAATGTGACTCACACCTGTAATCCCAGCACTTTGGGAGGCCAAGATGGTAGGCTTGCTTGAGGCCAGGAGTTTGAGACCAGGCTGGGCAACAAAGCCAGACTCTGTTTCTATGAAACATTTACAAACCCAGCTGGGTGTAGTGGCGCACACCTGTAGTCACAGCTACTCAGGAGGCTAAGGTGAGAGGATCACTTGAGCTGGGAGTTTGAGTTACAGTGGGCAATTATTGAGCCACTGCACTCCAGTTTGGGTGACAGCGCAGGACCCCCGCACCAAAAACCATAGAGGTAGATCTATAGGGTATAAATAGGCTATACAATATAAAAGCTGCATACAGGCATTAAATAAAAACCACATTATCAATACTAATGGGTAGAAAAAACATATTTGGGGGCCAGGTGCAGTGGCTCATGCTTGTACTCCCAGCACTTCGGGAGGCTAAGGATGGCAGATCATAAGGTCAAGAGATTGAGACAATCCTGGCCAATGTGGTGAAACCCCATCTCTACTAAAGATACAAAAATTAGCTGGGTGTGGTGGTGTGTACCCCTGTAGTCCCAGCTACTCAGGAGAATCACTTGAACCCAGGAGCTGGAGGTGGCAGTGAGCGGAGATTGCACCACTGCACTCCAGCCTGGGGACAGAGCAAGACTCCATCTCCAAAAAAAAGAAAAAATAAATAAAGAAAGAAAAAATATATTTGGTCATAATTAAGCTATTTTGAAATCTACTGTAAGACAGATGTATCTTTAATTAGAATACTTTTCATTGATTTTCATTTCCCAGGAGTACATTTCTTTTAAAGTCAAGAATATAGATCTTTAACAAGGATCTAATGCTGCTAAATATTTTTAAATTCTCAATCCCTTTTATACTTCCTATTTGGCACTTTTCGCAATTATCAGTCAATAGAAGAAAGGGTGTTTGCATGTGTCTTTCCCCAAAAGAATGAACAGATGGAGGAAAAGCACCACTTTTTTTAGTCATGTGGTACCAATTTATCTCCTATCTTATATTTCTCATAAAAGGAGCATAGTAACTTAATTGAACCAAAATAGTCTCAACTCTTTGCAGGGAATCATTTTCAGAGAGGAAATTGATCTTCTGCCTTATGTTCTAAAACCTTCTGGGATTCTACAGATGCCCACTTCATCTCTTTTTAAATAAAGGGCAGACTATTTGTGATGATTTTACAGTGAGAAATGAAAAAAGTCAAGTGCTATGAGTGAGAAACCAAGAGTCTAAGTCCTCTCTCTGACATGATGATCTGTGTGACCCTGGATAAGACACATAACTTCTGTGGTCTTGTTTCTTCATTCTGTTAAAACTATTTGAATTGCTTGACATTTACCATTCTTTTCAGGACTTTCTATGGGATTCAATAAATTATCTGTCTTCTCCAGCTCGTTTTTGCTCTTCTTGCTTATTGGATGGAAACATGTTATTCCCACCTTCTCTTATACTCACTACTATTTTTTTTAGGAGAGACCTTGAGTACTTGAAACTTCCTTAGAGAAATGTTAAGCAAGTCACTCAAACTCTCTAGACCTCATCTGTAAAAGAACAGATCACAAGTTCACCAGCCACAGATCCTAGCATCAGATCCCTACAGGGGACCAGTGACCCGGTGAGCAAGAGTCATCCCTCCAGGGATAAACTGATACCAACCAGCATAGGTCAAAGACCATCATAAGACCAGAGGCTTTTCACCCCTTTTCCCAAAACTACATTATGACTGGGAAATTTCTGAAAGATTATTTAAATTATTAGAGCAAACTAAACTGTGAATCGGATTCCCGCTCCACCACCTCCAATAATCAGTAGGTGCCTAGAAAAGGAAGCGGAATAGGGAACATTGCATTAAATTATTACTGTATTTTCTCCAGAGTGGTAACTGTGATTCAAGACATGTAACTTTGTTTATGGATTATCTTTAGCAAGCTGGCCCTCACCTGGAAAATTCACTTCGTGACTCTTAAACAAGAGGGTTGCTTATTACTGCTTCCTGTTTAAGGGAGTTTGTGGAGGTCCAGGCTTTCCAAACATGCCAGCCCTGCTCTCTGCTGTGCCCGAGTGGTGATTTAGATATCAATCTTGCCCGTGTGGACTGTCACTTCTGCCACCTTAGGAAAGACAAAAACAACTTCTTAGCAATCATATTCCTAGATCTTTACCTAAGTAAACCGAAAGCTTACATGCACACACAAACCTGTATGCAAATGTTTACAGCAACCTTATTCCTAATCTCCAATACCTAGAAGCAACCAAAATGTCTTTCACTGGTGAACGGATTAAAAAAATTGTGGTAATTTTTTTTTTTTTTTGGTTTTGAGACAGGGTCTCATTTTCTTGCCCAGGCTGGAGTGTAATGGCATGATCATAGCTCACTACAGCCTCAAACATCTGGGTTCAAGTGATCTTTCCATCTCAGCCTTTAGAGTAACTGGAATTACAGGTGTGCACCACCATGCCTGGGTAAATTTTTTTTTTGTTTTTTTCATGGAGATGGGGTCTCCTGTGTTGTCCAGACTAGTCTTAAGCGTTCTTCCCGCCTTGGCCTCCCAAAGAGTTAGAATTACAGGCATGAGCCACAATTCCTGGCCATGTTACATTCATATAATGGAGTACTATTATGCTGTAAAAAGATAGTAAACTATTGATTCACACAATGATATGGACGAATTTTAAATGAATTTTGCTAAGTGAAAGGAGCCAGACTCCAAAGGGTGCACACATTGTATAAATTCATTCATATGGCATTTTAGAAGCAGCTACACTATGGGATGGAAAACAGATGCCAGGGTTGCTGGTGGTAGGGAAGAGGGTAGATTAACTGTACATTAACTGCTGAGAGAATTCATGGAAAGAATTTTTAGGGTAACAGAACCGTTCTGGACTGGGTGTGGTGGCTCACACCCCCTATCATCCCAGCACTTTGGGAGGCTGAGGTGGGAGGATCGCTTGAGCCAGGAGTTCAAGACCAGCCTGGGAAACACAGATCCCATGTTTACAAAAAGTAAAAAAAATAGCTGGGGATTTGTGAACATGCCTGTAGTCCCAGTTACTCAGGAGGTTGAGGTAAAAGGATTGTTTGAGACTGCAGTGAGCTGTGATCACACCACTGCATTCCAACCTGGGTGGCAGAGACAGACCCTGTCTCCAAAAGGCAGGGTTGGGGGTTGGGTAAGGAACAATTCTGTATGATACTGGGCTGTGGATAAATGGCTCTGCATTTGTTAAAATCCATAGAACTGTATATCACAAAGTGGGAGCTCTAATGTATACAATTAAAAAAAATTACGGCCAAGATGTCTCAGCCCAAGAAAAGAAAGCTTGAGTCGGGGAGCGGCGGCGAAGGAGGGGAGGGAACTGAAGAGGAAGTTGGCACGGAGTGGGAGGCGGCCCTGGAGCGACCCCAGAGGACTAAGCGGGAGTGGGACCAGCTGTAATACGAGGGCTACTCAGACGTTCGGTCTACCAGGAGATGATCACAGACCGCGTCCGCACCGATGCCTATTTCCACCTCCTACCTCCTTGTGTCCCTCACTCCCCTTTTTCATTTTATGCTGAGCCTCTACTACTCTGGGCTGCCCTTGGGATTGGGTGGCAGCCACAGTTTCCCATGGACAGCTCTGCCCATGAGCCACTGCTCTCATGCTACCTCCTGCTGCTGTTCTCCAGGTGCTGCTGACCTCTGTGAGGCAGAGAAAAGGGATTCAGGTGGCTCATACCCCACACTGGAGCCCTTCACACGGTCCTCATTGGGGCCCAGTGCTGTGGGAGTGAGGATGATGACGAGCCTGGGCTGTTCAGGAACACGTGTCCTGAGTGCTCCATGTCACCAACTCGGGAGAGGTCTCCAGCTTGTTGTGACCATGAGAAGTAACCCACTGCCTTCTGCAGTAATTTCAGACCCCACTGTAAAGGAGAACTCCATGCTTAATCTGCCCTTGTCCCGGCTGGAGGCCAATCCACTCACCTTCCTTTTCCTTCTGGACCACCTGAAAAGGTAGCCCAGCTCTCTCATGGTTGCCCAGGGAGGGCTACAAAAACCCAGGCCACAGGGTGCCCCTCTGCTCACATCAGACCCCCAGTACTGAGGACCTTTCCCCCAACCCATCTACAGTCCCTCACTGCCTCTGGGGACCAGCGCCACTGCCACCCCCACCCCAGCCTCTCCTCTTTGCTCTGCTCCCCCCTCTGTACTGTGGCTTCACAAAGAGCTCAGAGCTTTGGCCAAGGCCAGCAATGCACTTGAATCCCCCAACTCCCTCACTCCCCGACCATAGAGGAGACCTCCCCACCAGCCCAGAGCTAACCCCTCGTCCTGGACCTCTGAGACCCACAAGTACCAGGGCTGGAATCAGCTTGCAGCACAGCCAGGGTCAAGGTCGCTCCCTCCCAGAGGACTCCAGCATGGCCCAGCCCCTCTGCCTCTTTCCTGGTGGTGGCATAGAAACAGCACCCTCTGCTTCCGTCCTGCACAGGGTGGTAAGAAAAAGGCAGTCAATAAAAGTCCCTGCACAACCTCACCATGGTCTTTGGCCCCACACTGCTCCAGCCTCAGAGAAGGAGAACAAGCTTTCTGCCAGTCCCAGCAGCCCATCGCCATGACCGACAGCTGGTCCTTGGAGGTCATGACCTACATGTGGGAAGAGAGGCTCCAGCCAGCCCATGCCACCCCGACCTGACAGAGGTGGCCTCTGCCTGCTACACCCCAGTCCTGCCCTGCCCAGCTTCCTACTTGCATTGTCTGTGGTGGTGCCTGACATTCAGAAAGAGAAACTTGCCTAGGTCTGCATGGATGACAGTGTTGGGGAGGCCCAGACCACCTCTTGGTCCTGCTGGTGCACCTTCCTGGGGGCTTAAAACTGCCCCAAGTGTTTGAATGTGGAGGCTCATGCCTGTAATCCCAGCACTTTGAGAGACCGCGGCAGGATAACTGAACCCAGGTGTTTGAGACCAGTCTGGACAATGCAGCAAACCCCATCTCTAGAAAAGAGAAAAGGAAAAATTAGTCAGGCATTGTGGCACACACCTGTAGTCCTAGCTACTGGGGAGGCTGACATGGGAGGATGGCTTGAGTCTAGCAGTTAGAGGCTGCAGTGATCCATGATGGAGCCACTGTACTCCAGCCTGGGTGACAGAGCAAGGCCCTGTGCACCTCTAAAATAACCCCCCCAAGTCATGCCTTGTCCACATCCACACCCCCACCTCCCGTCTCACTGTAAAGGCTTCATGGCAGCAGCAGAGGACTCAGCACCTGAGTTGGACTTCGGGGCTAAAGGTCACCAGCTGTGAGCACCCTCTGAGCCTCTCTCCTCTTTCCCACTCTTTCTGGCAGGTCCAGGTGCTGCTGTACTTCCTGCAGCTGGAGGCCATCCCTGCCCCAGACAGTAAGAGACAGAGCATCCTGTTCTCAACTGAAGTCTTAAGGCCCCGGTCCTTCTCCAGAAGGCAGATAGATGTCCCTAAAACCTCTGGATAATTGGACCATTGTAGAGTGGGAACCAAACATTCCTGAGGTGTCCTTGGGCCAGCCCCAAGCATCAGGCCATCTGCCAAGGGACAGTGAAACAAAGCAGAAGGACAGGTGGCCTGGGGACATCCTGGCCAGGTCTGGAAGCCCCAGACTGGCCCTAAACTGTGGTTTTTCACACGGCCACCCGAGGGCACCCAAAGTCAGTGTATCTCAGAGTCTGGGCCAGGTCCTGGGGAACAGAGTGAAGGGAGTGGTTTTAGGAACTTACATGTCTCCTGGATCACTTCTTGAGATGTGCCCTCTCCGGGGAGACAGGAATGTGACGGGATCCCCTCACTGTTGTATCTTGAATAAATGCTGCTGCTTCATCCTCTGGGGTTATGGCCCTGTCCCTGTGTGGGAGGGGCCTCTTCCATTCCCTGACTAGGAAACCACACTCCATTTAGAAAAGAATTGAGAGGCTAAGTCAGCACTGGGTAACATTTTGACTCCATTCACGGCTTTCTTTTTTCTTCTTTCCAGACGGACTTTTGTGTAGAAATGAATCTTTTCTTGCTGTGTTTGTCCTTATTGGAAGGCAGCTCCAGGAGGCCCGTGAAATGTTGGGGGACTGGACCCCAGGGGAGGGAGTCCCAGGCTGTGCGATTTAGGATTCCTCCTCCAGGGAGAGCAACCTCATCCCCAATCTTGACCGCCCTCCTGGCTCACGCTCTCCTGTTTGGCTTCCACAGGCCGGGACTTCTCTGGCTTCCCTCTGCCCACACTCTCCCTGCCTCAAGTGTCCCCAGCACAGGTGGCTTCATTTTTCTCTCAACTCAGGGAACTTGCTCAACTTCTGTAAAAGTCCCCACTTAGTGGTAGAAGCTTGCTGATGGCATGTTTTAAAACTTTGATTCAAATAACCTTTTAATACTTGAATATTTTAAGTTTTATACATAGTTCCTAATTTTTTTCCTTACAGATTCAGATACCTAATAAGATCCTAGAATGGTTGTCTTTCTCTAAGTGCCTGGCTCTGCTCTCTCAGGAGTGGGTTCTGAGGTCTCTGGACTACAGGATATTCAGAAAGTCAGGAAGAAGCCCGGCCAAGGGACAAGGGGCGGGGGATGGCCTCCTTCCTCGAGCAGGCAGAGGCACAGCACCACCTGCCACCTCCTCTGCAAGCACCTGTGTGGGAGCCCAGGCATGCTTTATAACCTGGCATTACCAGCCGGCTGAAAGAAAACAGAAGCATGGAGGCCGCCACTTATTTTCAACAAATTAACCCATAAACAATTCCCTCACTTTTTCAGAAAAAGGAGGTTGGGGCAAGGAGAGGAAAGAGGGAGATGAAACCCAGAGCCGAGTTTCCAGAAAATCCTGCAGGAGAAAAGGATGCAGCTGCCCAGAGGAAGGAAGCAGGATCACACTCAGGAAAGTGTGTGGGGTCCTGATGACACCAACACCCAGTGCAGTTCTCTCTGGTGTCCTCTCCCAAGGTGGGGAAGGTGAGTGTTCCCTGGATGTCCATGGGCAGATCCTGCTGAGCATGCAGCATGTTGGGGAGTCTGACACTGGAGCCATTCTCCTCCACTCCAGGCAATTATAGGCAAGGCAAGACAAAACAATTCCAGGCAAGGCAATACCAGACAAGGCAAGGCAAGGCAAGAGAAGGCAATGCCAGGCAAGGCAATGCAATCCCAGGCAAGGCAATTGCAGGAAAAGCAATTGCAGGCAAGGCAAGGCAACACAAGGCAGGGAAAGGAAATTTGAGGCAAGGCAATTCCATCTAAGGCAAGGCAAGATCATTCCAGGGAAGGTAACTCTAGGCAAGGCAAGGCAATTCCAGGTAAGGCAAGACAATTCCAGGCAAGGCAAGGCAAAAAATTCCAGGCAAGGCAAGGCAAGGCAAGGCAAGGCCAATCCAGGCAAGTCCATTTCAGGCAAGGCAAGGCAATTCCAGGGAAGGCAATTCAAGGCAAGGCAAGGGAACACAATTCTAGGCAAGGCAATTCCAGGCAAGGCAAGACAAGACAATTCCAGGCAAGGCAATTCCAGGCAAGGGAAGGCAAAACAAGGCAATTCGAGGCAAGGCAAGGAAAGGCAACTCAACACAATTCCATGCAAGGCAAGGCAAGGCAATTCCAGGCAAGGCAAGGCAAGGCCTAGCAATTCCAGGCAGGGCAAGGCAAGGCAAGGCAATTACAGGCAAGAAAATTACAGTCAAACCAGGCAAGACAATGTAATTCCAGGCAAGGCAATTCCAGGCAAGGCAAGACAGGGCAATTCCAGTAAAGATGATTCCAGGCAAGGCAAGGCAATTTCAGGCTAGGAAATTCCAGGCAATGCAAGGCAAGGCAAGGCAACGCAAGGCAATTCCAGGCAAGGCAATGCAAGGGAAGGCAAGCAAGGCAATTCCAGGCAAGGCAAGGCAAGGCAAGACAAGGCAGGGAAAGGGAATTCCAGGCAAGACAATTCCAGGTAAGGCAAGGCAAGGCAATTTCAGGGAACGCAAATCCAGGCAAGGCCAGGCAAGGCCAGGCAAGGCAGTATCAGGCAAGGCAATTCCAGGCAAGGCAAGGCAACACAGGGTAAAGCAATTCCAGGCAAGGAAAGGCAAGGCTATTCCAGGCAAGGCAATTCCAGGCAATGCAGGGCAAGGCAAGGCAAGGAAATTCCAGCAAAGGCACGGAAAGGCAAGGAGAGGCATGGTCATTCCAGGCAAGGCAATTTCAGGTAAGGCAAGGCAATGCAATGCAAGGCAATTCCAAGCAAAAAAATTCCAGGCAAGAAAAGGAAAGGCAATTCCAGACAAGGTAATTTCAGACAAGGAAAGGAAAGGCAATTCCAGGCAAGGCAAAACAAGGCAAAAAAGTGCAATTCGAGGAAAGGCAAGGCAATTCTCCTGGAATTGCCTGGCCTAGAATTGCCTTGCATTGCATTGCCTTGCCTTGCCTTGACTGGAATTAGGTTGCCTGGAATTGCCTTGACCTGCCTTAGTGGGAATTGCCTTGCCTAGAATTGCCTTTCCCTGCCTTTTCTTGCCTTGCCTGGCCTGGAAGGCCATTCTGGCAATTGCCTTGCCTGGAATTGTCTTGCATTGCTTTGCCTTGCCTTGTTTTGCCTGGAATTCCCTGGCCTAGAATTGCATTGTCTTGCTTTACCTAGAATTGCCTTGCCTGAAATTGCCTTTCCTTGCCTTTACTGAAATTACCTTGTCTGGAATTTTCTTGCCTTGTCTTGCCTGGTATTTTCTAGCTTGGAATTGCATTGCATTGCATTGCATTGCCTTGCCTGAAATTGCCTTGCCTGGAATGACCTTGCCTCTCCTTGCCTTTCCTTGCCTTGCCTGGAATTTCCTTGCTGAAATTTCTTTGCCTTGCCTTGCCTTGCATTGCCTAGAATTGCCTTGCCTGGAATAGATTTGCCTTCCCTTGCCTGGAATTGCCTTACCCTGCATTGCCTTGCTTTTCTTGGAATTGCCTTGTCTGATATTGCCTTTCCCTGCCTTGTCTTGCCTTGCCTAGCCTGCAATTGCCTTTCCTGCAATTGCCTAGCCTGGAATTGCCTTGCCTTGTCTTGCCTTGTTTTGCCTTGCCTGGAATTGCTTTGACTTGCATTGCCATGCCTGGAATTGCCTTGCCTTGCCTTACCTGGAATTGCATTGCATTACCTGGCTTCTCCTTGCCTGGAATTGCCCTGCCTTGCCTTCCCTGGAATAGCCTTGCCTTGAATTGCCTTCTCTTGCCTTGTCTTGACTGGAATTGCCTTGTTTCAAGTTGCCTTGGCTTGCCTTTCCTTGCCTGGAATTGTCTTGCCTAGAATTTCCTTGCCTTGCATTGCGTTGCTTTGCCTTGACTGGAATTGCCTTGCCTGGAATTGCCTTGCCTTGCCTTGCCTTAGCAGGAATTGCCTTGCCTGGAATTGCCTTTCCCTGCCTTGTCTTGCCTTGCCTGGCCTGGAATTGCCTTTCTAGCAATTGTCTTGCCTGGAATTGCCTTGCCTTGCATTGCCTGGAATTGCCTTTCCTTGCATTGTCTTGCCTTTCCAGGAATTGCCTTGCCTGAAATTGTTTTTCTTTGCCTTTCCTAGAATTGCCTTGCCTTGCCTTGCCTAGAATTGCCTTGCTTGGAATGTCCCTGCGTTGCCTTGCCTTGAATTGCCTTGCCTGGAATTACCCTGCTTTGCCTTGCCTTTTCTTACCTCAAATTACCTTGCCTGGAATTGGCCTGCCTTGCCTTGTTTTGCCTTGCCTGGAATTGCCATGCCTTGCCTTGCCTGAAATTGCCTTACTTGAAATTTTCTTGCCTTGCAGGGAATTTTCTTGCATTGCCTTGCTTTGCCTAGCCTGGAATTGCCGTGCCTAGAATTGCCTTGCCTTGCCTTGCCTGCTGTGCCTGGATTTCCCTTGCTTGCAATTGCCTTGCCTAGCTTTGCCTGAAATTTACTTGCCTGGAATTGCTTTGCATTGACTTGCCTTGCCAGAAATTTTCTTGCCTTGCCTTGCCTTGCCTTGCCTTGTCTTGCCTTTCCTGTAATTGCCTTGCCTTGCCTTCCCTTGCCTTGCCTTGTCTTGCCTTTCCTGTAATTGCCTTTCCTTGCCTTTTCTTGCCTTGCCTTGCCTGGAATTGCCTTTCTCAGAATTGCCTTGCCTTAGATTGCCTTGTCTTGCCTTGCTTGAAATTGCCTTGCCTTGCCTTGCCTTGCCTAGAATTGCCTTTCTCAGAATTGCCTTGCCTTAGATTGCCTTGTCTTGCCTTGCTTGAAATTTCCTTGCCTTGCCTTGCCTGGAATTGCCTAGCCTGAAATTGCCTTTTTTTGTCTTGCCTGGAATTGTGTTGCCTTGCCTTGTCTTGCCTTGAATTGCCTTCCATGGAATTGTCTTGCCTTGCCTGAAATTGCCTTTCTTGGATTGGACTTGCCTTGCCTTGCCTGGTCTTGCCTTGCCTTTAATTTCCTTGCCTGGAATTTTTTGCCTTTCCTTGCCTTGCATTGCCTGGAGTTGCCTTGCCTGGAATAGCCTTGCCTTGCCTTGCTTGGAATTTCCTTGCCTGGAATTGCCTTGTCTTGCCTTGCCTGGAGTTACCTTCCCTGGAATTACCTTGCCTTACCTTACCTGCAATTGCTTTGCCTCGAATTTCCTTTCCCTGCCTTGTCTTGCCTTGCCTTGCCTGAAATTGCCTTTCCTGCAATTGTCTTGCCTGGGATTGCATTGCATTGCCTTGCCTTGCCTTGCCTTGCCTGGCGTTGCCTTCTCTTGCCTTACCTTGCCTTGTGTTGCCTAGAATTGCCTTGCCTGGAATTGACTTGCCTGGAATTGCCTTGTCTTGTCTATATTTGCCTTCCCTGGAATTGCCTTGCCTTACCCGAAATTGCCTTGCCTGGATTGGTCTTGCCTTGACTTACCTTGCCTTTAATTTTCTTGCCTGGAATTTTTTGCCTTTCCTTGCCTTGCATTGCCTGGAATTGCCTTGCCTGGAATAGCTTCGCCTTGCCTTGCCTGGAATTGCCTTGTCTGGACTTGCCTGGCCTAGAATTGCATTCCCTTGCCTTACCTTGCCTTGCCTGGAATTTCCTTGCTGGAATTTGTTTGCTTTGCCTTGCCTTGCATTGCCTGGAATTGCCTTGCCTGGAATAGCCTTGCCTTCCCTTGCCTGGAATTGCCTTACCCTGTGTTGCCTTGCCTTGCCTGAAATTGTCTTGCCTGATATTGCCTTGCCTTGCCTTGCCTGGAGTTGCCTTCCCTGGAATTGCCTTCCCTTGCCTTACCTGGAATTGTCTTGCCTAGAATTGCCTTTCCCTGCCTTGTCTTGTCTTGCCTAGCCTGGAATTGCCTTTCCTGCAATTGCCTAGCCTGGAATTGCATTGCCTTGCCTTGCCTTCTGTTGCCTTGCCTGGAATTGCTTTGACTTGCATTGCCTTGCCTGGAATTGACATGCCAGGAATTGCCTTGCCTTGCCTTACCTGAAATTGCCTTGCCTGGAATTACATTGCATTACCTTGCTTCTTTTTGCCTGGAATTGCCCTGCCTTGCCTTCCCTGGAATAGTCTTGCCTAGAATTGCCTTGTCTTGCCTTGCCTTGACTGGAATTGCCTTGTTTCATATTGCCTTGCTTTGTCTTTCCTCGCCTGGAATTGCCTTGTCTAGAATTTCCTTGCCTTGCATTGCCTTGCCTTGCCTTGCCTTGACTGGAATTGCCTTGCCTTGTTTTAGCTAGAATTGCCTTGCCTGGAATTGCCTTTCCCTGACTTGTCTTGCCTTGCCTGGCCTGGAATTTCCTTTTGGGCAATTGCCTTGCCTGAAAACACCTTTCCTTGCATTGCCTGGAATTGCCTTTCCTTGCATTGCCTTGCCTTGCCTGGAATTGCCTGGCCTAGAATTGCATTGCCTTGCCTGGAACTGTTTTTCCTTTCCATTCCTGGAATTGCCTTGTCTGGAATTGCCTTGCCTTGTCTTGCCTGGAATTGCCTTGCCTTGCCTTGCTTGAAAACGCCTTGGCTGGAATTGCCCTTTTTTGCCCTGCCTCGCCTCGCCTTGCCTTGAATTGCCTTGCTTGGAATTTCCCTGCCTTTCCTTGCCTCAAATTGCCGTCCCTGGAATTACCTTGCTTTGCCTTGCCTGGAATTGGCCTGCCTTGCCTGGAATTGCCATGCCTTGCCTAGCCTGGAATTGTCCTGACTGGAATTGCCTTGCCTTGCCTGGAATTGCTGTGCCTAGAATTGCCTTGCCTTGCCTTTCCTTGCCTGCTCCTGGATTTGCCTTGCTTGCAATTGCCTTACCTAGCTTTTACTTGCCTGGAATTGCCTTGCATTGACTTGCCTTGCCTGAAATTTTATGGCTTGGCTTGGTCTGGTCTGGCTTGGCTTGGCCTGGCCTGACCTGGCCTGCCTTGGCCTGTCTTGGCCTGCCTTGGCCTGGCCTGCCTTGGCCTGCCTTAGCCTGTCTTGGCCAGCCTTGGCCTGGCCTGGCTTGGCCTGTCTTGGCCTGACCTGCCTTGGCCTGGCCTGCCTTGGCCTGTCTTGGCCTGGCCTGCCTTGGCCTGCCTTAACTTGACTTGACCTGACCTGGCCTGCCTTGACTTGACTTGACTTGACCTGACCTGACCTGACCTGACCTGATCTGACCTGCCTTGCCTTGCCTTGCCTTGACTTGACTTGACCTGACCTGACCTGACCTGACCTGACCTGCCTTGACTTGACTTGACTTGACCTGGCCTGGCCTGCCTTAACTTGACCTGACCTGACCTGGCCTGCCTTGACTTGACTTGACTTGACCTGACCTGACCTGCCTTGCCTTGCCTTGACTTGACCTGACCTGACCTGCCTTGACCTGACCTGACCTGCCTTGCCTTGCCTTGACTTGACCTAACCTGACCTGACCTGACCTGACCTGACCTTCCTTGCCTTGCCTTTACCAGAATTACCCTGCCTGGAATTGCCTTGCCTGGAATTACCTTGTCTTGTCTTGCTTGACTGGTATTTTCTTCCCTAGAATTGCCTTGCCTTGCTGTGCCTTGTCTTTCCTTGCATGGAATTGCCTTGAGTTGCCTTTCCTTGCCTTGCCTGGAATTTTTTTGCCTTGCCTTGACTTGCATTACCTGGAATTGCCTTGCGTGGAATAGCCTTGCCTTGTCTTGCCTTTAATTACATTGCCTTGCCTTGCCTGGAGTTACCTTGCCTTGCACTCCTCTGTGCTTGTGGACCTGGTGAGGCAGGGAGCAGAAAATACAAAAATTAGCAGGATGAGGTGGCACTTGCCTTTATGCCCAGGTACTGTTGACACTGAGGCAGGAGAATTGCTTGAACCCAGGAGGCAGAGGTGCAGTGAGCCAAGTTCGGGCCACTGCACTCTAGCCAGAATGACTGCTCAACACTCCAGCTCAAATAAATAAGAAATAAATAAATGTAAGCCTTTAATTCTATCACTTTGGGAGGCTCCAGTAGGTAGTTCACCTGAAGTCAGGAGTTCGAGATCAGCTTGACCAATATGAGGAAACCCTGTCTCTACCAAAAATATAAATACTAGCTGGGTGTTGTGGCATGCACCTGTAGTCTCAGCTGCTCAGGAAGCTGAGACAGGAGAATTACTTGAACCCAGGAGGCGGAGGTTGCAGTAAGCCAAGATCACCCCACTGCACTTCAGCCTGGGCAACAGAGCAGACTCCATCTCAAAAAGAAAAAAATAAATAAAATAATTTTTTAAAAAAAAAATGTAGTAAGACTGCAGTCTTACTACAGAGGAAGTGTGCTAGTCTTATCCAGGTAGTGAAGACAGACTTCATACACAAATCTCACAAGAACTTTTATACCCACCCCTGAAAGAAACCCGATTGCCTTCCAAGGAAGCAGTACATGGACAAATGCATGGGCTGCCCCAAACAGCGCTGGAAAGATCAACAGAAAACAGGGAGTGACATGCTTAGCCCTTGAAGCCAAAATGCCCTTTTTCAGAGCAGCTGCCAGAAGACAGTGAGCAGGATCGGGTTGGAAGTCACCTGTGGGTGAAGGGGAGAATGGTCAGATCTGGGCTGGGGTGTAGAAACCAGGGCATCCTCACTGGAACAGAAGAGAGCTGCTCTGTGATGTTCAGCTGACAGGCAGAGCCTTGCAAATCCAAGTTCTCATGGTACAGAGAGGCCAGCCAAGGCGAGGACAAAGACAGGCACACACAGGAATGGTTTCCTGGAGGACAGGGGCCAGTTACATCTTTCAAATGGGACCAGATTGGTAGGAAGATCAGCTGCTTTGGGCAACTGAGGTCGCTTCTGGGTGAGCTCCCAAACTAGATGGTGCCAGGGGCCCTGGACCAGGCAGCTGGACTGGACATCTCATGGTCCTGTATTCCAGGAAACAGCATCTCAGCACTTGTCTGGCCAGTTCTCCAAAAGAACCATCCACGTGTCATCTTTCCATTTCCTCGCTGTTCACAGACTGGGCAGGGCCTGACCATAAACTCTCCCTTAGGGTTTTCAGTAACTGCCAAAATCGGAGCCCTGCAGTGAGGAGATGATGTTAACATGTGACTCTGGGCCAGGCGCTGCCTCATGCTATAAACTCAGTGCTTTTGGGAAGCTGAGCTGGGAGGATCACTTGACCATCAGCAGTTCAAGACCAACCTGAGGAACATAGATCTCTACCACAATATAAAAATAAAAATTACCCAGCTCTGGTGACATGCACCCAGAGTCCCAGCTACTCAGGAGGCTGAGGTGGCTGGAGCTCAGGAGTTCAAAGCTGTAGCTCTGATGTTGCCGCTGCACTCCAACATGAAAGACAGAGTGAGTCCATGTCCTGAAAAAGGAACAAACATGCTAGGCATAAAAGAAACATACCTGAAAATGGCCGGGCACGTGGCTCATGCCTGTAATCCCAGAACTTTGAGAGGCTGAGGTGAATGGATCACCTGATGTCAGGAATTCAAGAGCAGCCTGGCCAACATGGTGAAACCCCATCTCTACTAAAAGTACAAAAATTAGCCAGGCATGGTGGTGGGCACCTGTAATCCCAGCTACTCGGGACTCTGAGGCAGGAGAATTGCTGGAACCTGGGAGACGGAGGTTGCAGTGAGCTGAGATCCCACCATTGCACTGCAGCCTGGGTGAAATCATCTAAAAAAGGAAAAAACAATCAACATACCTGAAAATAAGGAAAGCTGTTTATGACAAAGCCATGCCTAACCTACTACATAATGAGGAAACGTTGAAAGCAATTCCTCTGTAAACAGGAACAACACAAGGATGCCCATTCTCACCACTGCTATTCAACATCACACAATCAGGCAAGAGGAAAAAATAAAAGGCATCCACATTGGAAAAGAGGACCTCAAATTATCCTTATCTGATGAAGATATGATCTTGGATTTAGAAACATGTAAAGGTTCCACCAGAAAACCTCTAGAGTTGATCAATAAATAAATACAGTTATTGCAGGATACAGAATCAATGTACCAAAATCAGCAGCATTTCTATACACCAACAATGGTCTAGTTGGGAAGGAAATTAAGAAGGCAATCCCATTTACAGTAGCAACAAAATGAAAAAAGATATGCCACAGAATAAATTTCACAAGGAGTTTGAAGATTTCTACAAGAAAAACTACAAAACACCAATGAAAAATTTTAATAAGACAGAAAGAAATGGACAATCATCCCATGCTAATGGATGAAAGAAACTCATAGCATTAAAATGACCGTACTGCCCAACGCAGCCTAGAGATTCAATGCAACCCCTGCCAAAATACCAGTGTCATCACTCACAGAATTGGAAAATCCTACAATTCATATGGAACCAAAAAAGAGCTCAAAGAGTCAAAGTCTTCCTCAGCAAATAGAAAAAAACTAGAGACATCCCATTTCACTACAAATTAGAACGACAAAATTCTTGACAAGTGCATGGTAACTAAAACAGCATGGTGCTAGCAGGAAAATAGACACATAGCTCAATGGGACACATGACAGAGCCCAGAAAGACAGCCACATATTCACAGCCAATTGATCTTCGACACAGCTGACGGAAACACACACTGGGGAAAGGACACCGTCTTCAGTGAATGGTACTGGGAGGGCTGGATAGCCACATGCAGAAGAAGGAAACTGGACCCTTTTTCTCTCACCGTATACAAACATCACCTCCAGATAGATCTGAGACTTGAACGCAAGATACGAAACTAGAAAAATATTAGAAGGAAACCTAGAGAACACTCTTCTGGACCTTGTTTAGCGGAGCCGCCTAACTTTAGCAGGTGTACAGTCTGACAAGGCAGCATGTGCATCACGGCGAGAGAAAGAAAGGTTAGAAAGGGTCCCAGCCTGGCTTGAGGTGGAAGTCGTGGGTAAGAAAACCCCTGCCGCTAAGTGTGCTGTGGTGCCCTGGGCTGGCTGTCTTGGAGCAGAAGATGAGGCCTGGGCTGGAGCTGAAGCAGCTGGACGGGAATATGGATGAACCCGCCTCAAGGCGCGGGTTCCCTGCTGCTGCCCATGAAGGACCACAGGTTTGGGCTGGGTGATGGCTGCAGCCATAATGGCAAGTTTCCGTAGTGAGGTGTGACCACTGATTGTCAGTCTGGCCAGGGCAGTGATGAGAGAGTCAGAAGATGGATTAGAAAGGGTCCCAGCCAGGCCTGCAGCCCGGGTCAACTTTCTTTTGGTGGGGGGGCTCAGGGCTGAAGCAGCTGGATCTGAAGATGGACGAGCCCGCTTCAAGCCACGGGTTCCCTGCTGCTGTCCATGAATGACCACAGGTTTGTGCTGGGTGGTGGCTGCAGCGGTCACGGGAAGTTTTAGTAGTGAGGTGGGACCACTGACCCTCTGTCTGGCCAGGGTGGTGGTGTGAGAGGCAGAAGATGGGTTAGAAAGGGTCTCAGCCAGGCTCCAGGTGGAAGTTGTGGGTAAGGAAACCCCTGCAGCTGAGTGTGCTGTGGTGCCCTGGGCTGGAGCAGAAGATGAGACCTGGGCTGCAGCGGAAGCAGTTGGACGGGAATATGGATGAACCTGCTTCAAGGTGCGGGTTCCCTGCTGCTGTCCATGAAGGACCACAGTTTTGGGCTGAGTGATGGCTGAGGTGCGACCACTGATCGTCAGTCTGGCTAGGGCGGTGATGAGAGAGTCAGAAGATGGGTTAGAAAGGGTCCCAGCCAGACCTGCAGCCCAGGTCGACTTTCTTTTGGTGGGGGTGCTCAAGGCTGATGCAGCTAGATCTGAAGACGGACAAGCCCGCTTCAAGCCACGGGTTCCCTGATGCTGTCCATGAATGACCACAGGTTTGTGCTGGGTGGTGGCTGCAGCAGTCATGGGAAGTTTCAGTACTGAGGTGGAACCACTGACCCTCTGTCTGGCCAGGGTGGTGGTGTGAGAGGCAGAAGATGGCTTAGAAAGGGTCGCGGCCAGGCTCCAGGGGGAAGTGGTGGGTAAGAAAACCCCTGCAGCTGAGTGTGCTGTGGTGCCCTGGGCTGGCTGTGTTGGAGCAGAAGATGAGGCCTGGGCTGCAGCTGAAGCACCTGGATGGGAAGATGGATGAGGCCGCTTCAAGCCACGGGTTCCCTGCTGCGGTCCATGAAGGACCACAGGTTTTGGCTGGGTGGTGGCTGCAGCAGTAACGGGAAGTTTCAGTAGTGAGGTGGGACCACTGACCCTCTGTCTGGCCAGGGTGGTGGTGGGAGAGGCAGAAGATGGGTCAAAAAGGCTCCCAGCCAGGCTTGAAGCCCGGGTTGACTTTCTTTTGGTGCAGGGCCTCGAGGTGGAAGTGGTGGGTAAGGGAGCCCCTGCAGCTGAGTGTGCTGTGGTGCCCTGGGCTGGCTGCATTGGAGCAGAAGATGAGGCCTAGGCTGAGTCCCACGAGTGTGCAGAGGTGGCAGGAAGGGTGTCTGAGGAGGAGAACAGGTGGCCTGCTGACCTGCGCTTCCTCCCAGACCCACGAGGTCTAGAGGGGGACCCTGCAGCAGATGCTTGGAGGGCCATGGGGTCCAGGCCATCTTGGGACTTGCATCTCTCCTGCTCTGCATCCGTGCTGGGTGCTTTAGGGACAGCAGGCAGAGAAGACGTCCCTATTGCCGGTGAGGACAAAGCATGGGAAAGCAGTGAGGCTCTGCACTCCCAGATGGACTTGTCCTCACCCTGCAGTGCGCTGTTAATGCACATTATTTCGGCCTGTTTCTCCAGGTCCAGGTCTTCAGCAGTGACCCGGAACCCCAGCTGTAAGGAAGGTGGCAGCATCAGAGGCTTCTCTTGCCTGTGTGGTAGCAGAGGGAACTTTCGTCTACCAGGCCTAGAGGCCTGAGATGTCGGGGAGCCACTCCTGGGGCCGGTTTCTCCCCAGGTGCTGAATCTGCTGCCTTTTCACACTGGGCCTGACCCTGAGAGACAGCCTGAGGGCTGACCTCACTCACTGTCTTTGAAGAAGTGAGGGGCAGCTGGCAGTGGGATGAGGCTGGCCCCTTTCCCCTCTTTAGCCACAGGAAGCCTCCCGTGGAGCTGTAGGAGCTGGAGATGGAGTTGCGGCAGCAGCTCATCGCAGAGTGCTGGGATTTCTTGTCAGATGGCATTTCTGACCTCTGGGTATGGAGGTCTCTCTGCAGGGGCCCGGGCCTGGGTACGAAGGGAGAGAGGCCTCCACTGTCCTGCAGGGGTCTAAATGCAGACCGTGCATCCCTGGTGCCCTCAGGGCCCCCTTTCTGATCATCGGGCTTCTCTTGGACTCTGGGGTCCTTGCCCTGCTCAGGCATCCCTGCCCCACTCTCCATGAGGGCCCTCAACATGATCTCTGGATGGGAGTGTGGGGTAGAGCTGGGTGTTCTGGGCCACAAAAAGGCGATTACCTTCTCCAGGGCCTCTCTGAGAGTCCTTAGGCTCAGTGTAATTGGTGACCTGCAGGACAAAACTGCTATAGCGAGCACACAGCACTGGCTTGCTGCGGTACCTGTGCCTCAAATTGAAGGCAGGATCGCGGGATGGATCACAGGGCTTGTAGGATACAGAAATCCTTGGAGTTGTTTCGACACCAGGCTGATTCCAAGTGTCTGGGTACTTGTAAGATGGCTTGCCACTCTGTCCAGGGGCAGGAGCAATGGAGAGATCCCACAAGCAAAGTGAACTGAGGGATGCGGGCAGCAGACTCAAGGCAACTGAGTCCTATTGGTGGGTCCTCAGCCCCAGGACGGGACCTGGACAGGAATAAAGGGCACAGAGTGCCCAGGTAACTGCTCCTGGGAGCAGTGAGGTATTTTTGGAGGCTTGAACTCTCGAGAGCTGGGCTCTGAGCATCCTCTTATCTGCTGTCTACTGGCCAACGGTGAAGGGAGCATTCTCCTGTTGCCAGTAAATGCATCATTCAAACCTGAGCGAGTGGGGCACGTGCAAAGACCGGCGCAAGTGACAGATCTGCGCCGGAAGGACTACCTTACGGGATTCCTGCAACAAGGTATGGGCACCAGGTATCCACTGGCAATGTGGAGTGGGGGTGGGGGGTTAAGGGTGGGCAAAATATGCGTGTGAGGCACCTGCGAGCAATGACGGTGGGGGAGGGCCGGGGTAGAAGGGGCGCCTGATAGGTCCTGGAAGGAGAGACGCGTGCACAAAGGAGGCCAGACCTTAACGGTTTGGAGAGGTGCGTGCACAAAGGACGCCAGACGTTAACGGTTTGGCCGGCAAGGTTCACGTACAAGGCACCTGATGGCAATGGAAGGGGCGGCGCGTGCAAGGGGTACTGTAGGGAGAGGCATGCGCACTAAGGACCTGGGACCTTAAAGGATCGGCGCAGCAAGGTAGGGGCACAAGGCAGCTACTGGCAACTGCGGGATTGGGGGCGGGGGGCAGAGCGGCACACGCACTAGGTACTGGAGGGAGAGGTGAGCACAAAGGGCTTGGAATCTTTTTTTTTTTTATTTTTTATTGCATTTTAGGTTTTGGGGTACATGTGCAGAACATGCAAAACAGTTGCATAGGTACACACATGGCAGTGTGTTTTGCTTCCTTTCTCCCCTTCACCCACATTTGGCATTTCTCCCCAGGCTATCCCTCCCCAGTGGGGGGGGGACACCGCTGGCCCACCCCTTTTCCCCCCAATAGACCCCAGTGTTTAGTACTCCCCTCCCTGTGTCCACGTGTTCTCATTTTTCATCACCTGCCTATGAGTGAGAATATGCGGTATTTCATTTTCTGTTCTTGTGTCAGTTTGCTGAGGATGATGTCCTCCAGATTGATCCATGTCCCTACAAACGACATGAACTCATCATTTCTGATTGCTGCTTAATATTCTGTGGTGTATATGTGCCACATTTTCCCAATCCAGTCTATCGTCAATGGGCATTTGGGTTGGTTACAGGTCTTTGCTATTGTAAACAGTGCTGCAATGAACATTCGTGTGCATGTGTCCTTATAGTAGAACGATTTATAGTCCTTTGGATATATACCCAGTAATGGGATTGCTGGGTCAAATGAAATTTCTATTTCTAAGGCCTTGAGGAATCGCCACACTGTCTTCCACAATGGTTGAACTAATTTACACTCCCACCAACAGTGTAAAAGTGTTCCTTTTTCTCCACATCCTCTCCAGCATCTGTTGTCTCCAGATTTTTTAGTGATCGCCATTCTAACTGGCGTGAGATAGTATCTCAATGTGGTTTTGATTTGCATTTCTGTGATGACCAGTGATGATGAGCATTTTTTCATATGATTGCTGATTTTTTCTTATGTCTTCTTTTGTAAAGTGTCTGTTCATATCCTTTGCCCATTTTTGAATGGGCTTGTTTGTTTTTTTTCCTGTAAATCTGTTTGAGTTCTTTGTAAATTCTGGATATCAGCCCTTTGTCAGATGGGTAAACTGCAAAAATTTTTTTCCATTCTGTTGGTTGCCGATTCACTCTAGTGACTGTTTCTTTTGCCGTGCAGAAGCTGTGGAGTTTGATTAGGTCCCATTTGTCTATTTTGGCTTTTGTTGCCAATGCTTTTGGTGTTTTGTTCATGAAGTCCTTGCCTACTCCCATGTCCTGGATGGTTTTGCCTAGATTTTCTTCTAGGGTTTTTATGGTGCCAGGTCTTATGTTGAAGTCTGTAATCCATTTGGAGTTAATTTTAGTGTAAGGTGTCAGGAAGGGGTCCAGTTTCTGCTTTCTGCACATGGCTAGCCAGTTTAGGGCTCGGAATCTTAACGGATTGGCGTGACAAGGCACGGGCACAAGGCCATGATTATCAGCCCATGATTATTAATATCTCTAAGCTTTTGCTCATGCTATCCTCTCCCTTCCTGGAAAAGCCTCCCCACCTCAAGGGCTACTTCCTCCAAGAAGCATTCCTGATGGTCTTCCGGCTGCCGGCCTCCTAGGCACCGCTGCCGCCACTGCCAGGGGCCTAGGAACCTCTTCAGCACTACGGACAGCGCTCATTCGCCAAGTCACAGCCAGCGCCTCAGCCGACATCTTTTCAGGACCACGGACAGCCCCTGGCGCAACCCCAGCCGGGCCCTGGCGGCAGGGCTCACACACACAAGGCGCTGCATCAGCACCCGGGGACACTTGGGGCCAAGGCCAACAATGAGAAAAAAGGTCCCCCGGATTGCCATGCTTCCCCAGAAGCCCCTCTTCAGCAAGAATCTCCCTCGCCGTCGCCAAAGGCGTTCCGAGCAGCAGACCTGAGTGAGCGGGGAGGAGCAGATGGGCACTGCCATGGTGGGAGCAAGGGAAGCAAGCGGGTGTGAGGGGACAGAGAAATCGGGTGCGTAGGAATCTAAAGGACCTGGGTGATGTGGTGTGAAGGGGTGAGAAGATGTTTGGGGGCAGAAGCCTGACAGGGAGATTTGTGGGGAGAGAGGGGAAAATATCAGTGTTTGAGAAGGTTTGGGGGAATGTTGGAGCAAAAAGGAGTAACCTTTCCAGTATCGCTGCTTTCTTTTCACTCACTCACTCACTCACTCACTCACTCACTCACTCACTCACTTTTGCGTCTCACCAGTCAGATTCCCCATCCTTCTACAGTTCCCTGCATTTATACTGCTTCCCTCCCACACCCGAACATCTTGCTCGCTTTCTCCCTCTTCCTTATATCCGGCAAGTAAGAGCCTCCTCTGGAAGCCAGGACAGGAGGGTCTGCCCTGGGTCTTGGTGCCGCTCCGTGGTGGGTGTGTGAAGGCCAGGGTGGCGGTGACGTGGTACCAGCGGTGGGAGGGAAGTAAGGTCCAGGGTCCTTTTACCTTATTTCTAAGGTAGATGGTCGTGTATTAATTTGTATTCCCTAAAACTCAGTTTAGAGTCCTTGTCCACATCACTGTTCTTGGATGGATTAATTAACCCCTTTTCCTATCCCCTTCTCTCTTGACATTAAATGTTTCTCTGTTTGATGTGGAATGTTTAATGCATACCATTCATATATTGATTAAGTATACTAGTAGGTATGGTTTGCAATATCAACTCACCTGTGGAGTGGCTTGAGCCTGTGTGCCTGTGGCTCTGAGTCCTGAGCGAATGGAGTGCTAAGGAAAACTGCCTCTTTGGGAACTCCATGCAGCTTGTGGCTTTTATGATGGAAATAGCATCATTAAAAGCCTGAACTTGTGGAGAGACACAAATGTGCGTGGACCTGGTTATGTCTGACCTTGTGCCTCTCCCAGCAATAAGGCTTCCAGTCAACAGTAGGCTGCTAGCAGTTACATTTTGGGGGAGTGAAAAGTTTTACTGGGATTTTCATGCAAGGGGCGAGTACTCTTAACTGGAGTGTTGTTTGAGGGTCAACACACATACATATTGAGCGGGTGCATATGTATTGAGTGATTTGAGGGCGACCCTTGGACCATCCTCATTAGCCTCAACATGGATGATTTCTCCTCACTTAAACACATGCAAACTTCTCCTAACCTTGATGATTCTTACAGCTCTTGCCCTTTGCGGCACAACCTCAATAGAAGCTCCTGTACTTCTGACTCCAGCTCCTCTCCTCCCACAGTCTCCTTAGGGGACTCCAATCAGGTTTTCCCTCTGTTCATCACCAACCTTCGTGTTTCTGAATTCAGTGTTCACTGCTCGGCCTCACTGTGGCTCGCCCTGCATCCCTGAAACGTTTCCTTCACCTGCCTTCAGCTGTTCCCTTCCACCCCACCAGTCACCCTTGCTGGTCTCCCTTGCTCCTTCACACCCCCAATGACTTAACATCCGTGTTGGTTTTTGGCCTCTTTGCTTCCCTTCCCTGCTTTGCCCTTTGTGGGCAGGCTCTGCAGGCTGTTTCTCATGCCCCAGGCAGCAGCTCCCAGCCTCAGGGAGGGACTGGGGGAGTCTGAGAGCCTTAGGCAGCATCTTCGACAGTAACAGCAGCAGCAGCTGTTCCTTTTGTTACCACTTCTTGGAGGCAGCATGGAGTTTAGTTTCTGCTGGGTGAGCCCAGCTCCCATGTTCTGGTAGCACCACCTCCTCTTTATTCCCAGACCTCATGATTCTCTAAGGAGAAAATCTGATTGAATCTGCAGAAAAGCTATTAGAATTAATGAGCTTAGTAAGGAGATTGCAAATACATCTTGCTAAAATCTCTCAAATCAAATTTTTAAATAAGGATCCTCATTAATGACTTTTCCTATAATACACTGAGTTAGGGAAATAGCACTGATACCTTAAGAGTGAATGAACTAATTTTTTTTTGCATGTATTACCTTTTGAGACAATATGATCATAGATTGAGAAACCGAGTGCAATACGCCATCTAGTTGCCTCAGTCGAATCTGATTTAGCTCTACTGAAAGCTCATTTTTTTAGATGAAGTTTCACTCTTGTCACCCAGGCTGGAGTGCAATGGTGCAATCTTGACTCACTGCAACCTCCACCTTCTGGGTTCAAGAAACTCAGCCCCCTGAGTAGCTGGGATTACAGGCACCTGCCACCACGCTGGCTAATTTTTGCATTTTTAGTAGAGATGGGGTTTCACCATTTTGGCCAGGCTGGTCTCGAATTCCTGACCTCAGGTGATCCACCCGCCTGGGCCTCCCAAAGGGCTGGGATTACAGACTTGAACCACTGCACCCAGCCTGAAAGTTCATTTTCATACAGACAAAAAGAACATTCTTCTGATGCCAATCAGCTTTCAGGTTAGGAGTCTTTAAAATAATTTTCTGACACAAAAATGAGGATGCTGTTCATTCTTATTTGATGTTTCCTCTTTAGGATGCCTGTCAGTTTCTGCACAGAGATTGTCTACCACAGTAGTTCTCGAGGTTTGATTTCTATTAGAAATGAAATTTTTAGGTCTCCACCCAGACCTGCGGAATCAGAAACTGTGGGGGTGGCATGCAGCATTCTTTATTTAATATTCCTTTGAGGGGATTCTGCTGCCTGCTAAGCCAGAACCACCAGTCTATACAAGCTTGGGGTATGGGAAACAAGTTCACTTATGAGGTCACTTTTGCTGTATGAACTGAAGTAAATTCCCTGAAATAAAATTGGCAAAATGTTCCCTACTTTTCAAATTCTTTCCTCTCTCTTTCCCTCCCTCCCTCCCTCCCTCCCTTCTTTCCCTCTCTCTCTTTCTCTTCTCCTCTTTCTTTTTTTTTTCACCAGGCAACTTGT